CCCAGATCATAGTCGGCCGCCGGGACGCTATGACTCTCTGTGAACAAGTTCAAGCAGGCAGGTATATGACGGAGTCAAATATCAGTGAACGACAAATGATATCATTTCATTATATGTAAGGTTAAACATATCATTCGTCACGGAATGCCACCTTGAAAATTTGCTGCGCCGCCAGGTATAAATTAGAAACGCAGGCAGGCTTCACCTGGCATTCTGTAGGAAGAGGCTTGCCTTGGAAAAGTTTTCGCGGAAGCATGTTTAGTCGGTTGAAGTCATGGATTACGTGGTCATGGACCTATCTTTGGGCGGTTTGGTTCTTGCTGGTGATTGCACTCGTTTACATATTACGCGTTCCGTTGAAAATCAGCGATAGTCTGGAAAATGGTGATTGTTGGTGCGCGTTTGAAGGCAAATAACCTCGCTTTTTTAGCGTCTCTGTTTTTGAACACGCTTACACCGAAGTTCTATGTCGCCTTGACAGGCACCTCGAGCCTCGTATCTGGACTGATTTTGGTGAGTCTGACACAACGCTCAGTCAAGAAACTTGGGCATAAGTTTGTTCATGCTGTTTCCGTCGTTTCAAGCTTCGTGTTGTTCTGCTGTACTTTACACGAGCTGAAGCGAAGAAGGCCTGCGGGTTTCGCACGCTGTCATTTCACTAAAGTGGTATGAGCATCTTATTAAGGTTGTCACGGTTACCGAACATTGTCCGCCGTAACATTAGCAGCCGTGGCATCGATCCCATGAAAAGTAGCTGTGGAAGTGCACGGGGTCGTAACGCCGTCGCGTTTGAAGGCACCGTAGCGAATGTCTCCCTTCACCGTAGGATTATCGTGGATACTCGACGTCTTCCCACGTTCGGCTTCTCGCGTTTGTCCAGTTATGCTTAGCTTATGACTTAGCGTTTGCCGCTTTCTGCTGTGCATCAACGTCGTGCTTGGCCCTCCGCTGTGCGTTGGTGGAAAGCCATTCGTCTTGGTAAAGAAAGGAAAAAAGTAGAGTTTATCGTTGAGATGTTGGTCTTCCTTGCACTTGCATGATGGGGCTAATTCTAGCACTCCTGCTTTCATAAATTTAGTGGTGAGGACGCTAATCTCTATTTCCATGTATATTCCGGGAGTGCATTTTTATGACAAAATCGACGACGGCATTGCCAAACATAGTCTGTGTTCTCTTGTTCATTTTTCACTCATTTATTAGAGTGACACTCTTTTATCAACTTCAAAAGGAAGGAAAACCAGTGACTCCGTCAGTGCTCGAGCCGAGAACCTTTCAGTTCTGAGTTCGATGCTCTTCCGACTGAGTAACCACAGCTTGAAATAACGTGTGGTAAGTTCTTTGCTCAAAAAAAATTTGTGGTAAAGAGAAAGATCACCCATCGCGAGAATTCAGTTCGACATCTCAGGAATTTGAGTTCGAAGCCGACCTCAGCGCACTGTACCATCACGCTATTCGTCTTGGTAAACATTCGTCAAATATAGAATATGCCGTTGGTCATTCGTATCGTGTCGTATCGCTAAACGTCCTTGTTTTTATCTGTCGCGATGTTGTTCAGCTGAAAAATTTGGGTAAGCTTTCGGAGACAGGTCCTTCATTAAAATTTTACAAGTATAGGATAACTATTTATTGTTCAAATACATATGGATGGAGATATCGATTGTTCGCATGTTTGATTAACAGTTATATTTGGATTCCTGATCCATGGTTAATTGCAACAGTTTACAAGCACCAGGTACACCTTTCATTCACCGCTGCACATTTGCTTCGTTGCCAGTGTTATAATACGAGAATGTAAAACAGCACAATCTTATGATCAAGGGTTGTGTAACGTTTCAGTTACAACATCTTTTGTTCCATTATTTATTGACTTTCTGCTGCGCACCGATGGCATGGCAGTATGCACTACTGAAGGAGCTCATACATTATTCACACTCGTGTATAGTTTTCTAAGACAAGGATTGCAACGATTCTTTGATTGGTTGGCAGTTCGATGCTTGTGCTCTACTTATGAAGTGACATTTGTTCGATCAACATTGGAAACGATGCCGCCATGCTCTTTCTATTTTCCCATCTCTCAGAGCTGCTAGTTGTTCCGCCGCTTCCTTTTTTAATCGTCTTTTGGTTTCTGTGATTCAGATATTCTCCCATTGATTGTGTTGTTTCTTGTATACGAAGCTTCTCTCGTTCTTTCCGATCAACGAAGCTTCCTTTAAATCTGTGATCCCAAGACACTGCCAATTTTGTAGTATATTCACTCATTCTCCACGTACTGTTTAATCGTGTTGGAAAGCTTGGGAATAAGTGTTGGAAGACTAGAGTGAGGTTAGTTTTATTTTCAGACTTTTAACCTTGAGAATGAATTTCATGAAATTCCTTTTGATAATTTTCTCCCTGCGGCCATTTTTACGTAAGAAGTTTTCTAGATGTTCAGTTTCTCTTTGACAAGCACAATTTCTGTTAGAAACCGTAAGAGATCAGCTTTAAAGATATTGCTTGAATTCTTTATGCGAGTGGAAAGTTCATAGTCAACATAATTTTTGAATTGTTTATATGTATATATGGCTCAAAAGGAACCGGCTGCTGCAGACGAGATCAGCGCCAGCCGAAAGCTATTAGTTTTTGAAAAAGCTTGTAAGATGCGCAACAAAGCGTTGATAGGGTATTTATCCAATGAAATACTGGTTTTGGATAACGTATGACTAAACCTGTTTTGTGCTGCTTTTCTACAAGATGGACGGGAGATCTGAATGCATGGCACTTTTTGAATGGTATCAATAAATGGAGGGAAAAATATCCTTGCGCCACTTATATGTCCAAGTTCAAAAAATTGACGTAATTGAGTTGTCACTTTCATATTCGTGTTGTATTCCATCTGAACGGAAGGCTCTGGGAAGCATTTGATATCACAGTGTAAATCATTTGGCAGCTCAGATGGTAGTGTCATGCAGTCACAAGATGGCGGGTTCGACTTCTTTCAGGTCATTCTCTTTTCATTCATCCGAGTTAAATGCAAATGGATGAAATGAGTACCTCTGTTTGTTAAGGAGACCGTACACTATGATGCCCGCTTATCTTTAGATATGCCTTAGATGTCGTCTTAAAAGTAAATCCTGTTTGGCAGATTACATCGAAAAGAAGATCAGTGGCCCTTTTTTAATGTCATGAAAGAATGCCACAAACGATGGCAGATGATACAGTTGAAAACTTTTCTTTATCACTGACGGAAAAATTTTCCAACTAACAAGCCGTTTTCCTTGCTTAAGTACAGACAAACAGACAGAGGTTTCTGGGAATTTCGTTCTTGCCTTATTGGCGGTACTGAAAACTATATAAAGCACGGTTTATTCATACACCGGGTAAACA